TTAAAAAAATTAAAACGGACAAAAAAAAACCAAACACAGATGAATATAAAAATCGATTTTCAAGACTTGGAAACTAAGGATAAAAATGATGACGCACCTTAAATAAAATTAAGGCAAAAAACATACTCTTAAAGGTTATATATACAAAATGAATTCATTGTCAATAGATGTTGCACTAGAGCAACTACATCTCTGACTAAATCAATAGGCGCTAGCTGACCAGATTCCACTGACAAAACCGGAAATTTTACCTACACATACACATTTACATACACTTCAAACTGAACAGAAACAATATAAAACTCGCCAAAAAACATCTTTGTTAGTTTTTCCAACAATCACCAACACTGGTTTAGTTTAAATAAACCCCTGATTCACAGGGTTAGATGAGAATGAGAGCAGTTTCAGTCACTCTTTTCAGTTGGCAACAAATGTACTCGTGTACCAGCATGTATACATGGACAGACTGGCTTTGTAAACAAACCACAGGGAGGCCGGGAGGGACTGCGATGTCATTCTCTGCTCATGACCATAGACTGTATGAATAAAAATGGCAAAGCCTCTATGGCGTCACCCACAGGTTTCTGAAGAGCCGTTGTGAAGCTCAGTGTGTTTGGCTCTGGCATCTTGACAGTCATGACTCTGCTGGCTCCCAGATAATCAAAAACTGGGCAAAGAGGTGGAGCTGAGGTGGACTGAGTAAAACCTGGCAGCCTGGGATGGTCACTCAAAGCAGCAATGCCCTTTGAGGAACTGAACTTTTTGTTACTTCTGGGTTGGCTTCATTTTCCAGCCACAGAGGTTGCCGCTTGCTCAGGACACCATAACTCCACTAGATCTTTATATGGCGAATCTCCTATATAACCTAAAGTTTCTTTAAGAATGTCCACAGATCCAAACCGTCTTCTTATCACAGACACTAAAACATGTTTCTGAAATCTGAATTGTTCTATTGTAGATATCTGTACCTTCAAGCGCTTCTGGTTCAGTCTTCTGACACAGTGGAGGTGTGTTTGTGTGTGTGTGTGTGTGTGTGTGTGTGTGCCCTCCACTCTAATGGCTTCCATTCAGCGTCTCCATTATTCTCCTCTCTTTCTCTCTCCCTCCTACACAGACATGACTTCTATCTTCACATTGATTTCTTTTCCTTTACACTGATGGAGACCTTCAGCAGTTTCTTTTGACTTTTGTGTGGTTTGATGGATGTAAAAGCCTGTATGTGATACTAAATGGTCATAGTGATATGGTTGGTCAAAGACCTGATGTCACTTCCTGTCTAGGCTCTGGTTTTATGTAATTCAATGCAGTCTCTCATTGAAGGTTTCTTTCATCAGTTCCCCAGCTGAACTTTCCATATTCTAATATGCATGAGCTTCTAGAACAGAGTTTGATATTAGGATCTCCAATTAATTAAGTAAATACTAAGATATATACATATATAGATAGATACATATTTGATCAGTTGCTGAGATAATTTTTCACAGTATAATATATTTATTTTTTGTTATAATAGTCTCTCTTGATGTCTAGGGCTTATAAGAAATAACATTATTTATTTTAACATCCTTATCTTGACACAGAGTGAATCATAAACCAAAGTTGCAGGACTAATTTTTAGTAATTTGTGTTACAAATGTCAGTGTGACTCTTACTTCTGAAATTGACCCTAACTTCGGCTTTCACATTTTAATGCTTTCACTGTTAATATTAATTTCAATTTCTGAATATATTATATTTCAATGTATACACAAGTACTAGTGTATGCAATGTTTGTGATCAGCAATAACACTGCGACCCCCTGGGCCCCCTGGTGGTC